GGGTCTCGTCGAATGAGCCGCGACTTGAGAATTGGCGTCATTTCTTCGCACTGCTGCTGTGTATTTAGCATTTCCCTTCTGGGGAAGTCATCTAGTTTCTCCGACGTAGTTGCTCTGTCTGCAACTGCATCAGATCCTATAGACGATTTCAGATGTTTCTTGCCGTGGCAGTGGGCCTTTTGGTTTCATTATCGGACGCCTTATGATTGCCTCCAGTGCCTGTGCGACTCCAACTCAAAATGGTGCGCGAAGGCGACTGACGGCCTTCGATGTTTTTTTGACGTACGAGATTGCTCGCCAAAATTTGGGGTCGGTGCGATTTTTCCGCTCTTCTCGTTTACGTATGCACCGGTTGACGAAGTTGTGAGGGTAACCATTTTCTCTAAACACGCATCGAGGATATTGCAGCTCGGCAGCTTCACTACTTCGTAAGTCATTTGTGTCTTTGTCGGGACACTGGTGGTTCTGGTCACTTGCGACAGATGAGCTGTCGTATTTAACGAGAAGTCGCACTGACAGAATCAGGAGAGCATGCGATAGTAATGCCTGGCTTATCTGCTTCTCCCGCCGGTCATACCGCAATTCTAGGTCGGCAAGACCAAACATTTAAATCTGGGTTCGCTTGCTCGCTGAACAGATGATCGCTTAAACTAAGTTATACATTCTTGTAGATCGTTCTTTACAAGAACGCAAAAGAGCACTATCATCCGGTTGAAAATGTTGCTTAGACAGAAGTCACTACCTGAAGACTTTGAGGAAACAGTCTAGACTGTTGCGATAAACAGGCGCGGTTTCCTGAAACAAGACCGCTGTTGTCCGCTGATTTTGCATACGCGTTTTGACCAGGTCAATGGGATAGACAGCCGTGGCGCCGGTGGCTCCAGCTATTCCGCCCAGAGTGAATCGATAAACTTGCTGCAGCGCCAGCGCAGGCCAACTACGCTGCTGTTGAGGAGGGGGAGGGAAATCGGTGCTTGCAGCCAGTAGCTGTGAGCAGAAGAAAAAAAGGGAGGGGGTCAGAGTGAATTTTATGCATCCCTGCTATCGTCATGTGAAATACAGGTGAAAGTGACTCACAATTTAAAAAAAATGGGTTGTGTTTAAAAACCTCCGGCACTCGAGCATATGGCAGGCTGTTCACGTATCGCTAAAAGACATAAAAACTCAACCTCAGAGCCTATAAGATGTCGGGAGGAGGGGACGAAGGGCAAAGGTGTTAACAGAAAAGAAACACTCCTCTCGTGTGCCACCAAAAGGGCTTCAGAATGATTTCCGTACGAGGATAACTCCTTCTTTCTAATGGGAGAAAATGCTCCTATATCGCTGAATATGCTGCGCCATTGGTTAGTCCGTTCCAACAGGTCTTCTGACTTAATTATGCCAAATGTGATTGGGTAGATTAAAGTCCCTAGTAGTGAAAGCCTTAGACGGAACATGTCGGGTTAGGTCGTTTTATGACTAAACTAGTTTTTCATATATGGGACTTAAACAGGTAGGATAAATCTACGTTGTGGGTTTTGGTTCCATAGGCTGTAGTAATCTTTTACTAGTCCAAGTAAGAACTACCTCTGGTTTGTACACTGCGAATAGACCTTGATCGCGTCAATAACTCGCCTT